GGGGGGGGGGGGGGGGGGGGTGGCCGGGGGGGGGGGGGGGAGGACATCTGTAATACTTTCAACAATACAGATAATTTTTAAAAAGAAAAACTGAAACTATGTAATTAAAACATTAAGAAGGTAGCAACTGCAGACTACCAAGAAAAGGTAATGGGATTCCATCGTTAGCCTGTTCAGAGGTCAAAGAGCCTTGTGAATAAAGGTATAAAAGAAAAAAAGCATTCGAAGGGACCTTAAGCTACAGTATGATGTATGTGTGTTTCCGTATTATCTCGCAATAAATCGAAGATAGTAACGTTTTTTTCCTTTCCAGCATTGGAACTGGCTGCCGCTGCGGCTTCTATAGTCGATCAGTGTCTGGAGGCCACGGTGGATAAAAATCGGAGTTTGATTTACGTGCGTCGGGGGAAGGTTGGAGGAGTCCCTGTCCATGTATTTGTATAAGTTAATGGGAAGGGCTATGACTGCAGAGTATCACACCAAGCAAACCAGAAAGTCATCAGCAAAAATGTTAGCAGAGCAAAAAATGTTCACAGAAATTCTTTGGGTAAAAGGATTAAAATGCATCTTATATTTTTTTTTTAGTTCTCTATACTCTTATCCCCCAACTTTTCTACAGCTAAATATGTGTTTCGTGACGATGGGGGGAAATTTAAGCACTGCGGTTTTCCGGTTATAATGCTAGGTCCCCGTAATATCTTTTTCTCTCTTCCGCACAACACACTAAATAAGTAATAAATGTGAAGTTGATCTAACTGATCAGGTGGTCTCACAGCTGTGCAGACAGAGAGCAGCCACGGCCAGTGGTAAGGGGGTGGGGAAAAGACAAGCGCATGTTCACAAAACCTGCCACGGGGACCTCAGACTTCTAAGGCTGGCTCCACTGCATGCATTTGGGGTGGGAAGAAAAAACGGGTGTGGTCCCTGCCCATACGTACCCCAGGAAGAAAGGTGAAGAAGTTGTACTTCTGATTGTTGATGACATTTCGGGGGTACCTCTGATCCCTCTTCTCGGGGTGCCCCAGCCAGACCGTGCGGGGCCTGGGCTCTCCCCCACCGCAGCATCTCAGCCACTCACAGCACCTGCGGGAAAGACAGGCCCACAGCATCAAGGCCACGCCCTCCTCGCCACGTTTTCCTCAAGAGCTTCGGCACGGGGCACCCATGGGGAGCAGCCTCGGGGGAGATGGGGAACAGAACTGGGGCTCCTAAGAAGCTGGGGTCGCAATCAAAGGTGCTTTGCCGCCAAGCCCAAATTATTTATTTCAAAAAATAGAATTTATCTTTCCACTGGCAAGATGGTTAGTACTTCTGCACTGTACAGAAGAGGGAAGAAAGCTCAGGACAGTGGGTGCAGCCCCCAGGTTCGAGATGTGCGAGACAGCCGGGTCTGGCTTTGAACCATGTCCGTCCCGTCCAACAGCCCTGCTGCTCAGGTTGCTGCTTACACCACGCTCACTGTGAAAAGGAGAAGGGGCTGAGTCTACCTCCCCCAGTGCTCCCTTCGGCGATGCAGAAAGACGGAGACTCGCCCGGCGTGACCTGGACACGGGCCAGCGTACAAGCTGGAGGTGGATGGCCCGAGTGCCACCCCACCTGGCCGTCCCGGTCACCCGCGCACAAGCTAAGGGAACGCGGCCGGCTCTGGAGAAACAAAGCCACTCGGAGACACCCCCCAAAAGGCAGCTTGTCTTTCCCGGGAGCTACAAGCCCTGGTGAGCACTGCAACAGGAACACCCCACGGCCCCTCGCGGCCCCCGAACACACAGGCTGGCGGGAGGAACCCAGCCCGGCCAGCCCTGCGAGACATCCAGCAGAAGTGAAACCAGCCAGACGGGACTCACATAATTACTTGTCACGGAGGAACTCCCTTCTCCACTCGTCCTGCAGGCCAAGCAGGCCCTGGTGCAGTGCTGGGGTCCAGGGCTGAGCAAACACAGTCCCTGGCATCAGGACCCCAAAGATTAGCAAGCCAGCAAGCTGCCTGCTCGGATGTTCAGAATTTCCACGCTGAAACACGACGCTGCTGCTTAAAAATAGCCTCCTCGCTCCAGGGAACTGCTGCCCAGTACAGTGTGGCTCTGATGAGGACGGCTTCACGCCCAGCAACTCATCCGTGTTGGCGCCCCTCTAAGTCGTCCATCGGCCAGAGACACACAGAGGCCTCAAGGAGTCCCACCCCATTCCTGCTCTTGGGTGTGCCTTACCCACGCTGGCCATCCGTGGGCACTCTAAGTGTTGAATGACTGAGGGAGGGGCGGAGGGACGGAGGGTAGGTTCATTTAATAGGAAGCACACCCTTCCATTTGCAGAACCGGAAATTCTCTCCCCATCCTACAATAACCCTGTAATGATGGATCCCACCGCTGTCTGTTTGTACTGAAAGCTAAAGAATGGATTTAAGGGACTCATATACCGTCAGGCTGACTGTTTATAGAAGTTTTGTCTGTTATGTTTTAGCAGAAGGTTCGGCACAGCAAGCTGCCAGGTTAAACTGCTTGTTACTTCACTGGCAGGGGCGTGCACGTGCCCAAAGCAGCAGGACAGTCAGTGTGGCCTGCACTGTGGAGGCAAAAGACTGGAAGTAAACCTGACCAGTGGTCAAACCTGACCGGTCATCAAACCTGACCGGTCATCAAACCTGGCTGTTAAATGAACAGGAAATGTCCACAAAATGGAATCCCAACAATCTTTGAAGACCGAGAGCTGCATGGGCCGGGTGGCCCTACTGAGAGATACACTAAATTGAAAAGCCAGGAGCCCCGGCCTGTGTGACTCAGTTGGTTGAACGTTGTCTCAAACACCGAGAGGTTGCTGGTTCGATTCCCGGTCAGGGCACAAGCCTGGGTTTCGGGCTCCATCCCCATAGGGGACAGGCAGGAGGCAGCTCTCCCTTCCTCTCTCTAAAATCAATAAAAACATATTTTTTTTTAAAAAAAGAAAAGGAAGGAGCTGAGAGGGATGTAGATACAGACTTACCCAGGCAGAAATCTCCTTGGCGGTCTGTCTGTTCCCTGGGCTCTCTGTCTTAGGAACCAGTGAATTCGCTTTGTTTTATTTTACTTTGCTCAAGCCAGTTGGGCATCTGTTAACCACTATGCCAAACCTCCCATCTGACGGTCCTGTCTGCCACATGGCCGGGCCCTCCTTAAAGATGTATCCCCAATGGATTTATGTGTCTGAGATCCTAAGCTTCTTAAGAGTTCACGCTGGGCGAGGATGCGGAGAAAAGGGAACCCTCGTGCACTGCTGGTGGGAATGCAGACTGGTGCAGCCACTGTGGAAAACAGTACGGAGTTTCCTCAAAAAATTAAATAGGGAACTGCCATTTGACCCAGTGATCCCACTTCTAGGAATATATCCTAAGAAACCCAAAGCACCAATCAGAAAGAATGTATGCACCCCTATGTTCATAGCAGCACACAGAGCATTCCAGCATGACAGGAAGTTCTCCTGGACAGCGTTGCTTTCTCTCTCCCCTTTCAAGACACCTCCCCACCTGACTTTTTTATTTTTTATTTTTAGAAAGGGAGGAAAGGGGAGAGAGAAAAACATAGATGTGAGAGAGAAACACCGATCGGCTGCCTCTCGAACGCGCCCCAACCAGAGATCGAACCCACAACCTAGGTATGTGTCCTGACGGAGAATCAAACCTGTGGTCCATGGGACGATGCTCCCACCAACTGAGCCACACCGGCCAGGGCGTCCACCTGACCTCTGAACGGATGTCGGTGCCAAAGAAGACAGACGAGGACATTGAAGGAAATTTCCTAAGCAGATTCCCAAACTTTAGCCATTTTCATACACAGGATTTCTGCGATATCCAACTACCTCTATTGTCTAAATTCACGATTTTGCATACCTTACATCAGCGATTCTCAACCAGGGGTGGAGGTGAGCCACTGGTAGGTAGTAGGCAGAGCAGGCCAGGATGCTGCTCAACATCCTCCAACTTACAGGACGGGTCCCACAACAGAGGATGACCCGGCCCCAAATGTCAGCGGTGCCCAGGTCAGAACTCCATTTACATAAATGTATTTAAAGAGGTAACTTCATGTCACTATCATAAATGGAAAACCAGCATCACACTTTGTCAGACAAAGAAGGCAAATACCAAAATCAGTGCAATGATCAACGCAATGAGAAGCTAACAAGTCCTGCTAGACTCCCCCTGGACACAGCGGCTATGCCTGAAGCGGCGGCCCGGGGGCTGCTTCTCCTCCCTGTAGCGCGGAGACACCAGCAGGGTCTGCTGTTAAAAAGGGGGCCCTGCCAGGGTGAGCAATACTGACGGAAAACTGGAAAAGGAAGTGGGTGTCTTCCTACACGTCTCAATGTGATTTAGCTCCTGTCCCTGAATTACTCTGACTATCACTGCAGCGTCTGGAAACATATCTTGGGAACTAATGCCCTGCAGCAGAAGCCTTGGGCGTGGTGGCAGACTTACAAGTGACCAAGTTTCCCTCGGCCCGTCCAAACAGAAGAGGTGGTAGCGAGGCTCCTTCTCAACTTCTGGATTTATAACCTGCAAAGCTCTAGCTCTTCCCCTCCAGGCCGCTGCCAGACCCCGTCTGCCTAGTGGGTGGACTTCAGGCCCCTCCCCCTCCAAGGTCTGGGAGGAAGGCGCCCAGAGCTATGTTGTGACAGCTGTCACCTGGTGTCGTGGACTGCTACTGCTATTTCCTAATACCAAAGGGAGCTGTCTGTCACATGCCAGGGCAAAGTAACTCCCACCCCACACCCCAGGCAGCCTGGGGACATGGCTGCACCGCAGAATCCCTAAGAGGGAGAATTAATGGAGAGGCTGAAAAAGCAGTGACAGGCGAGAGCCACTGTTTCAACACAGCAGGACCACATGGACAGAGTTAGGAACACATCCCAGCCCTGCTCCACACCGGCTGTGTGCCTTCCAGCTACTCATCTGTGAGCCCACTTTCCCTCCCTGTAAAAAGATACGACCTGCCTTGCTGAATTACTATGAGGATAAAGATTTTATACAGAAAAGGGATAGGACAGGGCCTAGCACATAACAGGCATTCAATTAATAGTAGATATTGAGCCCTGGCCAGGTAGCTCAATTGGTTGGAGCATCAGCCCAAAAGGTTGCAGGTTGGATCCCTGGTCTGGGCACATACAAGAATCAACCAATGAAGGCATAAAAAAAGTGGAACAAATCAATGTTTCTCTCTCTCCCTCTCTCTAAAATCAATCAATAAATAAATAAACATATTTTTTAAAACAGTAGATATTACTTCTCGAGTTATTTTTCTAGATTTAAAAAAAAACATGAAACAATTTTCTCACCTGTTAGTATCAACAGCTATTCAATTAGGTTAAGATGTAAGGCTAGGCCCGGGCTCAGCATCGACCTATGAACCAGGAGGTCACCGTTCAATTCCCGGTCAGGGCTCATGCCCGGATTGCGGGCTCAATCCCCCGTGTGGGGCGTGCAGGAGGCAGCCGATCCATGATTCTCTCTCATCATTGATGTTTCTATCTCTCTCCTCCTCTCCCTTCCTCTGAAATCAATAAAAATATAAATAAAAATTTAAAAGATGTAAAGCTAGAGATAACTTAGTCTGCACTGCTTCCAGCTTAGACCATTTAAATAAAGAAAAGCCAAAGTAGATTTTTCTTATAAATTGACTCTAGAACAAACAAAGGTTATGACCGCTGATGTGCAGTGGTTGCACACAGCCGGGCTGACAGCAAGGGAAAAGCAAATATTACAGGGGGAAGTGCCCAGGCAACCGTGTTTCTGGAAAGGTGACTACTGCAGCCAGGAGCTGGCCTCGGGAGAAGGATCCCGCCTGCTCTCGGTGCCGGCGATCGGCACCCACTCAGTAAATATTTGCTGAGCTGCTGCGTGACGCACCAACCTTGCCGGAAGCCAGGGTCCAGGAAGTGACCGTCTCAATGTTGACACTGGGAAGACCCAGGAAGAAAAATTGAGAGCAATATGGAAAAAATAGTATACAGCACTGGGGGTCGGGGGGGGGTGGGGGGGGGGGGGGGGGGGGGTGAGTTCCTCCCCCCTCACCCCCTCACCCGAGGATAAATTCTGACCCCCAGGGACAGTTGGC